CTAGTGGTCTTCCCGTTCTGTAAGAAATGCCCTTATGTTCATCTGCACGGATGAAAAGATTCCTAGAAGTCTTTCCAATGTAAGCAGCATTGCAGCTGCTGCACGTGAATTTATACATAACAGATGAACATAAAATATTGGGAATTTTGTCTTTGAATTTAAAGTAATGGCCAATGGTGTTTGTGGAAGTGAAATGATCCATAAGTTTACAGTTGAATAGTGTACATTAATGAGATTTACTAATTTTCTTCTAATAGTATAACTCATAGGGCCTATGTATGGAAGGTTTATATAAATTGTATCTTTGGCGGCAAGTTGTACTGGTTCTCTTTTCACAAAGATATTGTTTAAGGTTTGTCTGATGGACCTCTGAATGACAAACAATGGAAAACCATTCCTTCTTAGAATGTCAGTGATAGAGTCTATTTCCTTGGTGAATATTAGGTAAGACTTTGATATCTTGTATGCTCTGTTGATGAAGGTATTTATCAAATTGGTTTTGTACTTCACAGGAATGAAAGAATCAAATTTCGTGGTGAGGCCTGTGTATGTCGGTTTCTTGTATGTTGCAGTTGAAAAACTATTATTATCTCTGCTTATACTGACATCTAAGAAAGGTAGTTTACCATTGGACTCTAATTCACAAGTAAATTTGATATTCTTATGCTGACTGTTCATATACTGCAGGAATTTCTGCACCTGTATCTGTGATTTAAACAAAAGAAGTGTGTCAACATATCTATAATAATATGAGGGTCTGAAATCAGGTGGGCAGTTTGTGAGCCACCTCTTTTCATGAAAACACATAAATATGTTTGCAAGTGTTGGGCCTAGGGGACTACCCATGGCCACTCCATCAATCTGTTTATACAATTCTCCATTAAAGAAGAACGCTATGTCTTTCGTTGCAAATTCCAGCAATTTCCTGAAATGCAGCTTGTTTAAGCCATTTATGTGAGTACTGTGGTTAAACAGTGAGTCAATGATGATTGCAATGGTCTCAACAAGAGGGAGATTTGTGAATAAATTGGTAACATCAAAACTTGCCATTATATAATTGTCATCATCGGGGATATCTAATATTGTTTTCACAAATGACAAAGTATCATGTATTGTAAATTCATTGATAGTCAGTGTTTTGAGAATGGGTACAAAATATTTTGAAATATTATAGTTTAAAGTGCTAATAGTTGCAAGTATTGATCTAAGAGAGTTAGATAGATAGATAGACGGATAGATAGATAGAGAGAGAAAATGAGAAATAGATAGATGGATAGACAGACAGATAGATAGATATAGATAGAGAGAGAGAGAGAACGAGAGATAGATAGATAGATAGAAAGAGAGAGAGAGAGAAAGAGAAGGAGGGCACTGATGCCGAGAGATTAGCCCGCTGCCTGATGTCGTGCCAGATAACTGATTCCGTCGCAGATGACTGATGTCAAGGAACAATGGCAGCGCGTGACGCCTCTGGGACATGCTGAGTCAGGGGTGGGCGGGTGGGGGGGGGGGCGGTGTTAGGAGTTAAAAGGCGAAGAAAATATGTTTTTAGTGGGTGTATAGTCATTTTTTTTTTAAATTGTTGGTGTTATTGTTATTACTCCTAGCATTATAAGTTGTATATGATAATGATAGTAATGGTGATGATGATGATGATGATGGTTATGATGATGATTGTTGGACTTTGTTGATAATGATAATGGTTATGATGATTATAATGATGATCAAGATAGTATAATGGTAAGTGTAATAATAATAATGATAATGATATGATGATAAATAATAATAATAATAATAAAATTTAATAACAACATTGAAATGTTAATGATAATAATGACAATGGTAATGATAATAATGATAATAATAATGATAAGGACAATTATAAAAATGATGAAGATATTGATAATTATAGTATTGATGGGATTGATAACCAAAATAATAGTAATGATTTGTTTGAATAGAAAAGCAAAATTAAAAAAAAAGAAAGAAAAAAAAATACAATCATCATCTCTCTGATATTGATGCTCGTTTTTAATAGAAAACAAAATTCTAAAATAAAAATATATAAAATAAATTAAATAAAGTGAAACGATTTTCCGAAATTTTAACGAGACCTAATGACGTCATCAAAGCAACACCACAAGACAACAAACAAGAACAAAACAGACAAAAACGCATCCCCCCAAAACGAATTTCCGAACGCTAACTTCCGTCAAAGTCCCAACCAATCCCTAATCAACTCCTAATCCCCATACACTCTCGAAGGAAAACAGCCTTATAACGATTCCCCCTTAACGAAATCACGAGACAAAATCGATACCCTCGCCAAGACGTGAGACAATGCAACCCTCTCCGTTGCAGATCCGTTTCGTGAGTGCAATTATAACGTACTCGATGCTCTTGTTGCGAGATTCGGCACGGCGTTAATCAGCGTTAATCATCTTGAAAGATTCCTGCTTGAGTTCACCGAGGCCACGAGGGGGATTCCCCGTTTGCCGCATTACATTAATTGGTTGTGGTTGTTAATTCGCCGAGTTGAGGTGACGTTTTCGGTGCGGGGTTGTTGGTGAGGTTGTTGGACAGGTGTTGGAGACTGACGTGACGTTCTCGGTGCGGGGTTGTTGGTGAGGTTGTTGGACAGGTCTTGGGTGTTGGAGACATGGAGGGAAGAGAGGAGGAGGGAGGATAAGGAAAAGGAGAAGATGAGAGAGAATAAGGAGGTTTAAGAGAAGAATGGAGGGAGGATAAGGGGGAGGAGAGGAGGAGGAAGGATAAGGAGGAGGGAGAATAAGGAGGAGGAGAAGATGAGGGAGAATAAGGAGGAGAAGATGAAAGAAAATAAGAAGGAGGAAAAGGAGCATTACATTAATTGGTTGTGGTTGTTAATTCGCCGAGTTGACGTGACGTTTTCGGTGCAGGGTTGTTAGTTGTTAGTGAGGTTGTTGGACAGGTCTTGGGTGTTGGAGACATGGGGGGAGGATAAGGAGGAGGAGAGGAGGAGGGAGGATAAGGGGGAGGAGAGGAGGAGGGAGGATAAGGGGGAGGATAGGAGGGGAGGATTAGGAGGAGGAGAAGATGGAGATAGAATAAGGAGGAGGAGAAGGTGGAGGAAGAATAAGGGAGAAGATGAAGGAGAATAAGAAGGAGGAGGAAAAGATGAGAGAAAATAAGAAGGAGGAGAAGGAGGAGAGATGGAGGGAGGATTAGGAGAGGAAAATGGAGGAGGAATAAGGGAGGAGAAGATAAATGAGAATAAGAAGGAGCAGAAGATGAGGGAGATAAAAAGGAGAAGATGGAGGAGGAAATGTGGGAGAATAAGGAGGAGAAAATGGAAGAGAATAAGGAGGAGAAGATGGAGGAGAGGGGAGAAGGTGAAGGTGAAGAGAGGGGGCCGATTTTTTTTCTACTGTTTTTTTTCAGATGGACGAATAGATTAATTCAAAGCAATTGGATTATAATTATGACATATTACAAACAAGGGTGCACATATACATATACTTAGAATATGTGTGTGTGTGTGTGTGTGTGTGTGTGTGTGTGGTGTGTGTGTGTGTGTGTGTGTGTGTGTGTGTGTGTGTGTGTGTGTGTGTGTGTGTGTGTGTGTGTATGTATGTAGGTGTATTTTATGTGTGCGCGCGTTCGTGCGTGCTTGTATGTACATAAATATATGTATATATACATAATCATATGTAAACATCTATAGTACCAGAGAACAACCATCTAAAAAAAGAAAAAAAATACAATAAAAAAAAATACAATGTAAATAAAATAAAAATACAAAACATAATTCATCCAAATATGTTAAACCCGATAAACGCTTTGTTCACACGCAACTCGCAAGTTTTGGATTATTTTTACCGCATCTTAGTCTTAAACGTGTAGATACGGGGTAATAATTCACAAGCAATGATTTACCGACCTTTGCACATAAGAACTGTGCCTCTAAACATCCCCAATAGACAGTAAATCCTGAGATATTGCAGAGGATGAGTAGGTATCGTATAAAAAAGGGATAAGTGGCTATGATGCCTATAATAATGTTGGTGATGATTAAAGATAAAGATAATGATATTGGTAATAATAATAATAACAATTAGAAGCACTCAGGGGGCGCCTACCTCTGATAAAGCAATAAAGTCACTGATGCAATAGAAATATTCACACTTAAAGAATTATATTAAAATCACCTTTCTCAAGTATCCATAACACCCTTGTCGGAGGGAAGGAAAAAGGGGTAATGATGCAAGCATTTAATAAAAATCTTAGGCTAAGACGCACCTCTGGTAGAATTTTCATAGAAATCTTTTTGAGTTTTCCTGCTAACCAACGACAAACTAACTTCCTTGGTGTTGATAATAATCCTGTTAATGATAATATATATCGATGATAATGATGATTGGTGACGATGACGATGATGATGATGATGATGATGATGATGATGATGACAATGATAATGATGATAAAAATAATAGAAATTATGATAACAAAAATGATAGTAGTTTTATCAACAACTATGATACAATTAGCAATGTCATAATGAAAATGATGATATTAAAGTAATGGTGATAATAACAACAACAACGGCGATACTAATGATAGTGATGAAATGCTGCTGCTGCTGATAATAATATAAAATAATGATAATAATGGTATTGATAATGATGATGATGGTCATAATGATGATGGTAATTGTAAGTATTATAAATAATGAAAATAATGAGACATATATAAAGGATTAATAATAATAATAATGATAATGGCAACGGAATAATAGATAAATAAAAATAACAATTTCTATAACAATAATGATAATAACACTACAAAATAATTATGTAAGGAATAATAATAATAATAATAATGATAATTATAATAATAACAATGATAATAATAATGATAATAATAAAAAATAATAATAATATATATAATATGATAATAATGAATGATGATGATGATGATGATGATCATAATAATAATAATAATAATAATATAATAATAATAAT